ACTTGCATTTCTGTCAACATAGTTTGCACCATGTATGCAAAGCGGTTGCTTGATTGTATAGGAAGTACATAACTGTGTTCAAACCTGCTACCAGCTTGATTTTCGGATGCTAATCCCCATTTGTTTGCCTGTTGTTTTGATGCTTTAATTCAGTTGAAACCTTTGTCGGTGACTTTGTACCGGATATCGGTTTGCATTCTGTTAATAAGTGAATACCATAGGTGTTGTAGCTTACGTGCAATCTGTCTACTTTGGAGCCCAAACATCATTATACTAGGACACACTTTTTGTAGCTTGCTGATCTTGAAACCTTGATATAAAAGTGTTCAAAACTTCATCCAATTGCAGGATTTTACTAATATAACTTCGCTGCTTATAGCTGCGAGCCTAAGCTCCAAATTCGTTCTGATCATGAGACTGCAGGACGCTGTAGACAACGTTTTTACGTATGTTGCCATTAGGTGCTTGCTTGTGCTCTCCACATGGAAAGTAAAGTAAGATGCAGATCAAACAGCTTTCATACTGCAGACAAACTGTCGAAAGCAACACTGCTGCCACCACATCAGCATGATTCAATATAATCAGGAGAGGCCCAGCTTAACTATAATGTTTATTATTTGGGTGGCCTATGATACCTGTCAATTCGGAAGGCCTATTCATCGTACCGACCAGGTTGCTTAATCTGTTACAGGGGTTAAGTCATCCAGTTGTTTCTCCTTCAGAGACTACGATGTTGACTCAGTAACGTTGGTACATAGTATTGACAGGGCACCTCAATTTTTATGAGCGTCTCTCATTGGATAATTGGTCGTGGTTGGAACGACGAATGATTTGCTACGCATCACAGCTGCGTTGTCTCTAGCATTAGTTTTCATTGTCGCATCAAACATTCTTCTGCTGCTTTTGGCATATTTTAGATGCAACCATGTCTCAGTTTCCACATATATTGTCATGTTTCCAGGGATTCGGCAAACCCTGGAGGGTGTAAGTGGTGTTGGGGAAACTGTGATGAACGGGCTTGAGGAGAAGTGTTTGGAAAGGCTGTGTAGATTTGAGGTAGTGGTGTTGTTTAAAGGAGTAACTTATGTGGTTTTCATCCCGGGTTATGGAGTTAGCTTACAGCGGTGATCTGTAAGGTAGACATAGGAGCCATCATTCGACAATGATCGTTCTTATTGAAGCTCTTTTGGTGCCTATAACTTGTATGACCACATCTGTCTGGCTATTATATTTCTGAGACAGTGCATTTAGTGTCTTAACTACTAGGACGTTATTCATTCTGGTCAGAATCAAACTGAGTCTGCTTTGCTCATTAATCTAAATTGTTATTTGCCATGGAATTTGTTCGAGCAGCAGGAACATGAAACCCGATCTTAGTCATCTTCTAGCAATCATCTTTATGCAAAAGGCATATATTGATAACATCACATTACCCGGCAATGTAAGCAGAGTGCTGACAAGACTTTTCCATTGTCTATTTCTTTTTTTCTATTAGACAAACAATGTCTAATATCCCGTAACTTTGGTATGCTACAGAATGCCGGATTTATCGCGCGGGCATTTAAGAGTCATTAGCTTATTCTTTCGAAGAAGACCAAAATGTTCTTATAGTTCCTCTAGATTGATGTAATTACACACTTAGAATACGACAATTTTGCCAGCTTTTTGAATTGATGAGGGATTATGATCAACATAAGTTACATCCAAGAAGTAAAAAGCACTGGTTAGTGCTTGTCAAATTTATTCGAAAGAGCTCACGCACTAGAATGCGCGATTATGTATTGGATAGCCACAGCAGACTAGTTGAGAGCAGAGGTAGAGCGCGGCCAAGAACATATTAATCCAAGAGCTTGTCCATAAATCATCGTGAGGAAACCATCGATGGCAATGCTAGTGAGCTGTTACCAATACACTCAATTTTGTGTTAACTTCCCAGCATATCACTTTAACTCCAGATACAAATGAATGGGCAGGGATTAACGTTAAAATTTGAGCTGGCTCATCCTAATTTCTAATATCAAACGTGCTCCACCTGCTAAGTGGATTTTGTCAAAAAAGGCTTAATGCCCGGAAGAACTGTAGTGACAGAAACTGTTTTTAAGATTTGTAACAGACACATCGCTATGGAATCTATTGTTGCGTTTAGTGAAGGCTGTTTTACCTAAAGTCACCGTGCACTCACAATAAAACAGAAGTTTCCAACCATCCCAAATTATTGTCCCATGTATTGCGACTCGATGTTTAAATAGACATGGGTTACTCACCGATATGCAAAAAATGCATGTATCCAGTCCAATGAACTAAAAGAATGGAAGCTTGTTTAGACCAACGTATTTTAAATTGCTATGCGCACCGTTTTGGGGAAACAGGAATTTTGGCTCAACTTGTGGTTTCACAATAGACAAAGTGCAATGGACACAAAAATGTCGTCTTTCGCCCCTTAGAAATATACTGACTGGAGATGGCGATCTCCATGCAACTGTTCTCGGACACTTTAAAATTGTACCTTAGCTGGTTTTCTGCTTGATCGTTTCTAATTCCGCTTTGAGGGGGCGGGTGTATTAGGCATGGCCCTAACGGAATTTAATGGTGATGCAGTCTAGAAATAACACACTACCGTTCAGATTGTGTACTTGTATAGCCTCAATATACACTGCGTGATGATAACTGGAGGTTATCCAACTATAAGTTTCTTAGGAAGTCATATTCCCGGATGATCATACAAATGTAGGAATTCCATGCTCCTTTTCCAGCTAATGTATGCTGTGCAAAATAAGATGATATATTCGATTTGATCAGTAACCTTTCGACATGCTACTCTTAATATGACTTGAGTAGACCTTCAGTGTACACAAGTTGTCAATACGGATGCTTACTTGCAAACCCGAATAGTATCGCTTACCAATTTTGGTGAAAGTTAGGGTCACGATACATTCGTCCGTTCGGAGACAATACCTAGAAGTTCGCAGTACATTTAAACGCAACCTCGAGTTTGACGGTTTTGCTTGGATTACTTTGACTGTGTTTGAGTATATAAGATTATGACGAAATTGTTATTGCTAGCATTTTGTCGGGAACAATTTTACGATTTATATATTAAGGAATTTGCTCATGGCTTCAGTATTTTGTAACAAAAATCCATTGAGCATACCGTCATTCTGAAAATATTATCTACGTTCCACAAAGGTTATATTGATTGAACACAACTTGCTAAAATCGCGCTGAATCTGTAGGACTAATTAGTACTTTTTATTTATATATATCCCGGTATCATATCTGAATATAAATTTGAGTATGTTATTAAAAAGCTTTACTATCTAAGAACATAACGATTTCCAAGCAATTTACAATTGTCATGGTTAGCATGGGCATTCCAGCTGACCAAATATAACTCAATCGATTAATGCCCCGATTGTTGTTTCCGGTATAAACAAATGAGCTTCAGTCGTATTGCTTCTAATAAGCAAGGACACCTTTAGGTCCTCAGCCAATTCTACATCAACTTCAGCTATGAAATCCCACTTGTTCGCGTCTTGCGATATTTCTTTAAAAGACAGCTGCAACGGAAAGCTAGGAAATGAAGAAAGTTTTAGTACTGCGAGAAGTTTCAGGCCATCCTTTGATTATAACTGGAACCTAAGGATATACACAATAAAATTCGGTTTCCCCTTAATTATCCTTCTCTTAAGTGATGACCTTTTCAGCAAAATGTCAAAGTGAATGACCGAAATATTTTCGACCATGGTGGTGACAACGTTTGGCAAAAATGTTCAGCTCTGAGCGACTGCATTTATTAGGTCTTTTTAACCAAGGGACAGAAGAGAAAATATGGGGTTAAACTTGCATGAATTATTATGCAAGGCAGGCCACGTAGAAGTGGGTATGTTTCACATGCGAAATTCAGCAAATTTGTGTGTCATGCGGATGGAGAGAACTAATAACTGGGCGATTGCTTTGTGTGTTTTAGCGACTACTGTCACGTTAATTTGGAACATAGTTGACTGTCATTTCGTTCAGGTAAACTAATAGGTTATAGCATAAATATTACTTTAGTCCACTTTTATGCAATGGATTACTATTAGTCTGTTACGAGAAGCAGTCAAATGGCCAATTATTTAACTAGCTGTACTATTCTATATGGACTTCTTATCGAATTACTCAATAAGAGGCAAGTCACTCTGCTTTAAATAGCAACTATGCCTTTTTAGCTCAGAACTTACAGGTGATAAATGAACAAGACAACTGTCATCTCGAATTGCTGTTCTCTCCTGAAACACATCGGTGTAGACATTTGTGAGGTCTGGTCTAGTTGTGTTCATCACCACAGGCTGCGATTCAGATGGCGAATATGACTTACTTACATATATCAAGTGGTTTGGAAAACTCATATGAACGGGACAACACGGGCCATGTTTTGTCAGCTTTGCCATGATGGAACTGGTGGAATGGTCAAGCGGGGAACAACCATGTTTTGTTCCCGCGACATACGCTGAGACAACAGCATCAGTGTTATCTGAAACGCGTTGTTTAAGCTTGCAATACGATGGAAGACTTGTGGTATAATTCCTTTCAAGTTGTAAAGATGATAAATTCGATTTCAATGAAATTTCGTCTCCTGTTTCTCGGTAACGTCCACTGTATGTTTCCATGTCATGTTTCGGAATTTGTGCAAGTTGTAACGAGCAACGTTTGCAGCTCATGTGTAGTCGAAACGCCAGTAGGGTTATTGAACAGAGCATCGCACATCCGGCACCAGCTAAGCAGAAGATAAGCCATATGTTGACGTCAATTAAATCTGAAGTTTGTTGTCTTGATGGCGGATTGATTGCAGTCCAATTGACCATATGCACTGGCGTACCAAATCTGTGCGATTGACCTACCACAAGATGATTCGTTTGATAATTGCTAAGTTCCGAATAGTCGGAGGAACCGTACTTCGCTTAAACATTTTGCTGGTCACTGTACTGATAGTCAAATTTATTATATTTTACTTGTCCGAATTAGGTGTTTGAAACCCTACAATAAATTACAGGATTTATATGAATACCAAATCTTAATACGCCTTGCGGTAAACGAGTGTACTACACGTTTATGGCATCGGTACTCATAAAAGTTAGATTAAACAAATAAGTTAGCTTCACATTCCAAGAAGTTCTTATGCAGCAAATTTGGAATAAAGCGCTTAGCCTTTCAGAGTTTTGATTTCACAATAAGTTACAGTACATGCAAATAGATGATAGTGGACCGTGAAGCTATAACGTAAGGAAAATGTATGGTATGCTCAACAGTAATGTTTATATTTGTAAACCCCTGCGTAAACCTTATAATGAGTGCCAAAATGAGAATAACAGTTAGTGAATTCTGGTATTTCTAACTAAATTCATATAATAAAAGCTGCCCAAAATAAATAGATTGACGTTTTCTTTGCGGCAACATCCGATGTTTTGGGTATGCTAACCTCTAATTTACACAATCAAGTGAACATTTCTGGCAAAGTTGTACACCGTATATCACATATTGTTTAACATAGGACGATCATTTTTTCTGGTTTATATTCCGCGTCCCATGCAATCTGGTTTAATTAATTAACAAATATCGACACTAGCAAGTTTTACAATTATCTCATTTGGTATTTATCGAAAATGCTTATCTGTCTTTCGCTGAATCAAAGCAAATAAGTATTACGTTTAAATCGTTTCAAGTAAACTTAGTTGAATGGGTGGTGTTCCATGCCAACATTTCAAATGTATCTAATATAAGCGAGGCACATCCCGTTATACTGTCTAACCGGGAAATTAGTAATTAGGTGATTAACACTATAACGACTTTACTTATGGCGGGGACAATTGCTAGCCTGCTTATTTACATTAGATTAAATAAGCTTCTTTTAATTTCGATCACGAATAGTTCCTATTGACACTAATGTATACACTCAAACCTATACATTAATAGAATTGCTTAAAATTTTCTTAGCGCTGCTAAGTTGGTTTTTCGGCCTTCCATTGAATATCACGCCAAACGATGAATTCATGATGCACATACGTGGCATAGAATTTTCGATAATGCGTTCTCTCTGTTCCAAATACTTTTTTGAATTTTTATCACAGGTAGTTAGCTGCTTGTATGCAATGCTAAGAAACCTGGCTTTTAACGTCAGCTATACAAATATAATAACCATTCCTGGTCTTTTGGAATGCGTGATTATTCCGTATCAGTTTAAGTAAGCCACTTCACTTGGACGTCGGAAAGTTTATGGGCATTATTTGTTTTGTCTCACTTACCACGTGAATGGACTTCCCGGCGCCGGTCGAATGGAAATTTTTTGCAGGTGCCTAACAGTACCGTAAGTCGTTACCCTGACAAACACTTGGTGGTAAATTCCAGCTACCAGATCGTTAAGCAGCAACCCGTTGTAGTACACACCTAAAACATAAAAATTCACTTGTGTGCTGCTCGAAGGTTAACATTTAGATGCTTACAATGATTAAGTGGTTCTAAAACAAGATGATATGTGTAAGATAATTAATATTCTTGATATAATTTTTTGCTGTTCTTTCCTTATAGTTTGCCCAAAATCTAGCCTGCATTTGCTTTGCTCTATTAAACTCATTATCTATGTGCAGGACACTAGTCAACCTACTTGATAAGAGCTATGTGAGTTTACCTGATTTATCAAGAACAAAATTACAATGATTTCTTTAGCAACAGTTCAGAATCGTACCAAGTTAATCAACTATGACTGTACCTTCGCAGAGCGCATTTACTAATTCATTCCACCACTTTTATACCTACCAACTAAAAATACTGGGATGCAACAAGGCAAATTTATTAGTGGTATAACGTCAAGCCATATAGTTTCTTGTTGGTTGAATTGTCTACCTGTTTTTCCTGAAAATAAGAGAGGTGCAGTAAAATAAAATATAGTTTGCTAACAAGGAAAACATGTATAATTGCTGCGATTGTAGGGTTACTGTAGAAGGTTTTTTATGGCGGTTTCCCTACATGTTCGTTCACAACGTGCGCGGTACTTATTTATGTTTAACAAGCTTATTGCCTGATGATATCACAAATCGTAACAACGTCTTACTTTAAATGATATGTTTGAAACTTTAATTCATATTTCAGAAACCATATTTTGTGCCTGGAACATAGTTTGACCGCCGCAGTGAGGGCAATTTCCTATGCGATGTATTATAGCTGCATATTTTGTAAGTAAACTGCTACATACTAGGTAACCTAAACATCATGTTTCCAGTAGTAACTGCATTGACTTGGCTTGATTATAACTATAATTTTCATTTGAAAATATTATGGCAAACAAATGACACTGAAATTGCAATATTCGTGCTATTGACAAGAATTGGATATAGTTTGCGAAACTTTATGTCCTAAGCTAGAACATTTTTCCATACCCTGGATGATTTGATTAATCCTTATAAATTTCTTAAATTTATATCACTTACCTTCTACTAATAAAAATAAAGAATTACCATATTATATGGCTACCAATATGCACACAACGTTATACAAACGGTTCAAAACTACTCATGCATAACACAATTTCTTTGCATATCGACGCTTGTTTTGCGACGTCGATTTCATAAGGGAGAATTCCTAGGTTTAATTTCGATACATTAATAAGTATGATTCCTGAGTTAGTTATGTTAATCTATAAAACAAATCATATATTCTTACCACATAATGACCTCAGTGCAACAATGTCTACAGCAAGCTCAGCTGGGCTTGTGATGTTTCTGAGCAACCCGCACAAAACAATCTAATTCCGTGATATATACCGACATTTCCCATCCTATTTATAAATATAATGAGAATATGGATAATTGTACATTCTCTATGATACATAAGAAACACCATCAAAGGCCTGATAATTTGGGGAATTGAATTTTTTGACAATGTGAGCAAAAGTTGCATTCATGACTATATTTATGTGCTCTCAAATGGTGCCACCATTGCTTCGGAGCAGACTGTATTCTAAGGACATCGTCAAGTGAAGTAAATAAATCGTTTCCATGCACCCATGAAGGGTGATTATTCAGTCACAAATCACACGCGATCAAAACATTAAAGCAAACAATTCTATAACCTTAAAATTTGTTCTTGACCGTATGATTCCCTTTAGCAGTGAAAGCAGCTCAATTTAAGTTACAGGTTTGTTGGAAGCCACTCATGTTGCGATATAAGTTTTTGTGGCGATAGCAATACGGCTTCCATCGACCGGTCATTACATTCGGCCAGACTGATATTTTCAGTTGCTAGCACAGCGATACACCTTGCGGGAAACCCTTTTGCTGACTTTTCAGTTGCATGAATGCGGACTACCGTTCGATCGAAACATGACACATTGGGTGCTACTATGTGGTGTCCAGCTCAAGTCTAATTCTCACACAACTGAGTTGAGTGCGTTCCCTAGGTCTTGCCATGCGGGTGAAGCATGACGCATTGATTGCGGCTGTGGTGTCTGGTTAACATTCACTTCTAACAGCTGAAAGGCTCTTTGTGCTCTGCGATCGTAGGCACACAAGTGACGTCTGTGTCCTATCTCACTCCTTCGGGCAATACAATTTGCGCCATTGGACTGTTAGCAATTCAGCGTACCGGTTGTACGTAAGCACCTGACTGCAGCCGCTCCTAGCTCCAAACCAAACTAACAAAACACGCGCAAGGATGACCAGCTTCAGTCAGGCGTATTGTTGGGGACTTCCAGCACTGTCACTCTCATCCCTGTCTGCCATCCGTTAAGAGCAATGTGTCAAAATACTCAGGAGGATAACTGTCCCCATGGGCGAGTATCAAAAATAATGCGTGCACGTAACCCCACAGGAAGAGAAAGTTTTAATGCCCGCCTGAACTAGAATGCAAAACACGTTATTTTGCTTTTTGCAACATGCTAACTTGTTAGCATTACGCGCGAAGTTGCCTGTGGAAACCTTTAGTTTATAAATCGTTATCTTCTATGATGGGGTATTAGTGGACGATCGTACATTGAATGAGGACAGCCGCTGAATTAATCTTATCTTAATTTACTTTAGGTACTGTATGTATTTTTATAAATATTGTACTGCCTTGTTCCCTGAAAGTATGTAACTTTCATAGGAAGGATTGTTATAGCGTGATCTTTGGTTGCATTTCTGAGTTAGCGTTGAACTAGCCGGCAAACACAATGCAATCCTATTGCCAAATTATTCCCAAACCATAAAATAAAGTTTGAATCATTGGACTTTGCTTATTCTGTGGGAGGCAGCTTAAACAATACTGCCAGAGAAACATCACAGTAGGTTTATATATATTTAGTTTAACAATATATATATATGTATATATATAATATATGGCGCTCAGCTGCAGGGTTCCAATGAATCAACCTGATCTCTATATATAAATCACCGCGTTCATCAAATTTATTAATATTTTTCAGTATACTAAATATTTCCTAAAAATAATTCAGCCACTAATTTTAACTAATAGCTCTATTATGTAAAAGCTATTGTCTGGTAAATTTTTGAATTTTAACAACGGAAAATTTAGTCTATGGGTGTAAATTTAAAAGCCAAGTTATTACTTTTACTAGGCGCTTCTGAAATTACCTTCTGGACGTATGATTACATGTTACTATCTCCATTTAAAAGTTACTATACTCCGTTTACCAGTAGTATTTACCCAAGTAGTAGTAGTATTTACAAGTAGTATTTAAAGAACAGCTTTTTAATGGCGACATTTACGCCTTTGGGCGTTATTATTCACCATTAATCACGTTTCTTGCTGGGAGCAACACAGTTAATACGACACAATCACAGTCTTGTTTGCGTATGTTTATATAACTAAGCACTACGTTGCTTTATTTATAAAAACAATGGAAGCATTGCACTATAAATGCCTAATACTCACGTTAACAATTAACCTATGAAGAAAACTACGTTTTTCAAAGGAAGTAATGCAGCTTGCATATAATAAAAGTAAATATTGTTTTCACTTGGCTAAACTTAATGAAGGAAACCGGGCCCTCTATATTGTATGGAATCACACGTGATTAATGATAATAATGATCCTCTTTTAAGGAAATCATATTGCGTTAATTATCATTCACGTATGGTCAGCGCGACGCGAATAGATGAACTTAAACTGGATAAAGAAAAAAATTTCGTAAAATATCTATGCGATAATATAATCTATAAATACCCTCAGATATTGGAAGAAAAGCAGTCAAAATTGCTGTTGGACAACCGTACAATAGAACATTTTAATCCAGCTACTGTCGTTTCAATGCAAACACCATGCTTCCGAGAACGCTTATTCCAATTAGATGTGACTGAGTAGCAACGCCATCTAAGTTAGAACGATTCAAGCCGGAAACCCCGTTACCTGAAGTAAGTATTTTAAATTCTTCATAATCTTACATCGGCACTAAGATATCGTGCTTTATTCGTCTTAAGCCAAACTTAGCAAGCGGAGTTTCGCTCTCCTCTGTGTCAAATATATAAGCTCGTCTTTTCGCGTAATTATCGCTAAACGCAGTATGAAATGCACCAGCTATATTCGCTAACTATATATAAAAATGCCGATGCCGGAAAATGCTACATATTGACATTTCTTACTTATTGTTTATGGTGATATTATCATAGAGTTTCTTCTGGTCTCAACCTTTTTAGACAATTCCGTGTGGCAGTTAGAAAATGATGCCGCAGACAAAAAATGGCACTTTACTGATGCGTTGCTAGCACATTAGATTTCAACAGTTAGGCATAGAAGGCACCGAACTCAGAACCGTTGGGATAGTAGTTGTGACAGCGAAACCTAAGCCACCGGGTCACGACAGCAAATGCTTGGCATATAAGTTAATGACTGTTGTGGGTAAACCAATGTTCACTTGAATGGGAATCTCGTTCAACTTTGGGATTTGGTCTCGCAATCCATCTACAATAGGTGCACGTCTAAATGACCTTGAATATCAATCTTAAACCGTTAGACCAAGCCTTGCTCCTCCTGTCCTGTTTGCTTAGGACTAGCGGTGACAAATAACATCCAATTCTTCTGTGTTTCGATGCCTGCTATCTCTACCTGATTAGATCAACTGAAGTCGGAATGCGACATAGAAGTTTTGGCTTTCTGGGCGGGCAACCACCCACTTTCCATCTAGTTCCACCACTGTCCTCCTGACCGAAAGAACAAGGTTCACTTCAATGGGCATTGCGGTCAACATTATGATTGTATGCCGCAATTCATCCACACAACGTGTACCACAAAATGACAAATGCAAGTTGATATGAGCTATTAATACATTGCGTTGTAAACACAACCACCTTTTTAGTAAAACATATAGATGTTATCCCTTCACAAAATATTCATCTCATTAGTGTGTGTTTATCCAGTCATACTGATGCCCGCTACTGGCTGTGATGTATAAACTTGTCTACCTAACCTTCATGCTATATTGTCAAAAATTGCCATAGGAAGCGTGATTAAATCCGTCAAATTCATGGATTGATAGATAAGTCTGCTTACACGAAGTAACTAATGATCTGTGGGCCATGTGCTAGCTAATACGGAACATCATTGAAAACGTGATGTTTGTATACAAGGCGGAGAAGTTTCATAGTTCAATTAGTAGAACTAGATAATTAGTATCTTTCGTTAACATTACAAACCTTTACCCAACTTGTTACAAAAACGCGCTGCCTGGTTAAACGGCGGCTTACATCAATGGTAAGGCGACATAGGTCTGCCCATTTCTACGCTACTCAGCTAATCAGTTAGCAATTCAGATAATACAGGTTTCCGTATACATAATAAACATAAGCTATGTTGCCTTACTTTATAATTCACGAATAGCCAAATCACCTGGCTTTTACACAATACATCTTGTCTTTACCGCTCATAGTTTGCGTTGTCTTTCCAGTTATTTTTTATGCGCACGTTATGCTATTTATCGGATAGTTAATCCAAACACTCCTTGCTTCCTCATCAACGATTATTTAAAGCTCTGTATGCATTGCTAATACATTGTGGATAACAACATAGCAAAATCAAACATTTCAATACAATTAATGTGACCAGAGAATATACAGCGCATGTAACTAATATATCACACCCAAGATTAGTTGTATGTTCACATTCAATTAGTTTGCCCACTACTAGGAAAACATGTATCCAGCTCTTCCCACTTACAGCAAATTATTTGTTATAATCCGTTTATGTCTGTTCATTAAAGGGTTGGGTATGTAACATAAGCTTAGCACGTGAACGGAGAACGAACCTGTGCGGGTCTAACTACTTTCAAATCCATGATTATGTAAGAAAATTTTGTTGATTATTAAAATGTTTGGACTTAAGGTTTGATGAATACCATAACAAAAATCCTTCTAGCCTTTTTTACCTAAATAGTCCGTAGCAGTATATGGTGTATACGCAAATATGCTAGAATATTAGTAATTCAAAAATAAACAGGAAAATTATTAAAACAAGCATCCTATTTCGGAATACTGTAAGTAGGAGAAATTCTAAATAATATCATTGTGTTTTTTCTGTTCATCATTTTTGCCGTTTTTTAACCCTTATCTATCTGGAGAAAATAAATAAGCAACAGCTCTTGATCAAGCTTGAAGAACGTACCTTATAAGAGAAATAATCTAAACGGTTGGGTAATCCGTAAGAAAAGTTTAAATTGTATTATAATGGGTTTGACGAGCAACTTGAACAAATATTTGCTCTGCTGTGGCTGAAAGCACATGCATATTATATGTGAATAAGCAATTATTTCTCGTTTGCTAATACATTACGGCTTATCTTTTAGTATGTGAGTAGATCGCTGTTTATCTACCTCTAACATCATTTGAAAACCACTGCGAAACCCGCGAATTCTGTGAAAATATCCATCAGTTAAAGTTATATTTGAACCAGTAATGTGCATCAAGCCACAGCCAAAATCGCAGTCTAAATGAAGGTAACCACCTACCTGAAGAAAGAAAGAAATGCAATTTGAACGTTTATAAATGCATGTTACCACCTAAACTAGGTCAGGCAATCTGGCTACCTTGAAGCATTTATATTTATGAAAATATTTTTGTCATATACATAAATACGAATGGTGTATTTATGTTTTATCCCACATGGATTAGTACACACTGTTACATTAGTTAATTACTTTATTTCATATTTTATAATATGTGCATAATGAACGTAGCCTGATAACGTTTGTACTGTCCAGGTATCATAAAATTTTGTTTATAACATTAAGAATAATATTATTATGGTGAGTGCTTTTTTTCTCATATCAACAATCAAAATTTTCAGAAATCACCGCGGTCAAGCGTTTTATTTCCGTCAAAAAATTATTGTATATGCTGCCGTACAATTCACGGCGACACTAATTACAAGTACATAAAAATCAAATTTTATGTACTAGTTAAAATTCCATAGACAAGAACAACTAGGATAATATAAAAAGGTATATGTCCATTCATATTTGAAAACTATCATTAGTACAATGCAGCTAGATTGATATAAAGTTCTGCTTTTATGAACGATTCCAACTCTGAAATAAGAAAAAGCAAAATTTTTAATTGCAAATTAACATTACACGATCCACCGGAAAGTTTGAACATCTAAACTAAACACATTATTTGCGATCGAAATATTGATGTGTTATAAAGAAATATAAATACGTTCAAGTTTATTAGGTGGATATGCATTGTGGTGCGGCAGTTTCTGCTTAAATCTTAAACTAAATAACTGCTGTTGCTGGAACTTTTAGCAACGGCTGTTCTTAATTTTGTTTTTGCTAATTTGTCACCACTTGTTATCAAGTCCACACACCGTTATCAAACTGTGGTAGGGGGATTAAATTAGGAAAACCGATTATGACATTCCGAATTTTTAATATGGTTACAAAATAAACACCGTCATGTTTGAAACTAAAGTATAGAGAAGAGGTAATATCTAGCAAAATAACCTTCAGATTTATCGATATGCGACGCGGCGGATATCAAGCATTTTAACTATGTTGATTTAAGGAATACTGTCATTTTATATTTTAATGTTTCTGCCTTGTTTAGCAGGTTACATGCGAAATACTTACCTGGATTTGTGCGATTGGCAAGTGCTTTGATAAATTGGCTGAGTTTTCTGCAGTAACTTACAAGTGTTATAAATCCATAAAACATAGCCGTGTTATTTTTGTCAAATAGTATATTTCACAACTTTCCAAAATATCACTTACCAAGTAAACGTGTAGAAAATCTCCTGTGAACTTTTTGTTTGCAACATAGAGCAGACTGCAAGTTGCTGCCAAGTTCTGTTGATAATGTGTTTCAACAGATGAGTTTATCCGTTCAGCCTGAATGCCTATAACAAATTCATCCTTCAACGTATGCATTGCACCATCGGTGTAGGTCAAGAGCATGTAACTGGCGCCTTGCAGTGAATGGCAATATTTGCTTGACTTTCGAGTATTCACATCGTGTGCCTCACTGATGCCGAGGTTAATGACTGTTCCGGCTGTAAAGTACACATACTTACTGCACTTAAATGTTGTAGACAGAAATACAATAGATCTCCTACAGTACCAGTATTATAATTATTACCTTTGAATGCGGAACATAAAAGGTTAGGAAGATTCATGCATTTAGATCTGAATCAAACTCTTTCACGCAAATTTTGTGAATTGAATTAGATACAGTAAGCGACACTAAGCTAGAGTCGTCAAATTATCAGTTTGGCCTCATCCGTGCTGAGAAAAATAATCATCTGAGATTTTTGAAACTTAAAATGTATTTTAATTTGCATCCTACTTTGTATGCGTCCTATTCACATATATATTGCTGTCAAGTCAATGCCACACTGAGGAAGAAGTCTTGTTTGATTAGGATTTGTTCATAAAACATTACCCAGATTCAGCGCAAGCATAAGAAACGAAACCAACGTTGACAGGCGCATACGTAAATTCTAACGTAAGAGCTACCCTTCACCAAAAGTGGTTAAGTTTGAACCCATTACATATTAAAATTTTGGACAAAAACTTACAAAATGTTCGCTCAAATTACCATAAAATAAAAGATCATTTCACCGCCCGAATGATATATGGTTTTTTTACCAATTTAATGTAGTTGATAACAATTACATCAGGTTAACATCTATACGGAGAACTACCAGACGATCGTTTTACCCTATTGGTGCTTGCCAGTATTGCGCATTCCCCTGCTCCCTTACAGCATTGTGAAAACAAAGACCGCTTCCTAAGCTAACGATTGTGTAAGCTTATCCTAATTACCAAATTAGCATAGGGACAATGCATATGCATGTAAAAAGAAATAGCACGGATGTTCACATCAAGTAATTCAAATCAACTCTAAGTGCTGGGAGATATATTTGATAGTTTTGTATCTTTTTTACAGTTAGACTCAGAGAGACAGCCACCACACCTCCAAGAAAGTGACAGGTGGCCTTTTCCTCTTATTGGGACAAGTCAGTATCGCCCAACAGCCAAATCCCGCCGAACTAAATGAATGACTTTTTACTGCGACCTGGTAACTTATGCCACTGAGTCATGGCGGTCCGCTGCCGTCGCCCATGACTTAGTGTCATAAGTCGATCGTAAGGTCGTGGGTTTAAATACTGCAGGTTTTGAATTTTGTGCGCTACTGACTAGTCCAAATAGGAGGAAACATAGCATTTCTGGAAATGTGGTGGCTAACTATCTCGCTAACTCGGACGAATTTGCATAAAATAGTTCAAATCAAATAACTGCACGCGTTACAATAATGCATCGAGCGATCCATTTGGTACTTAAAACAACCTCTCGTGTGTTCGAGCGAAATTATGATTGATAACTACTATGCAAACTTGTCACTGCTACGTTTATGGCGGCGCTCATATTTTGCGGTACATATAAGAAATATGGCGTGGGTGTTAAAATTAGAATGTGAAGGTAGTTAATACAAATTAATAACCGCTTATAACTTGGACTTACCACTTACGGCGGTTGCAACTAATTCCTGAAAACGCGGTTGTTTCGCAAAGACACAACTTTCCGGTCCAAAGCTGAACGCAGACACCATCATTGTGACACTTATCCGTCCACAATGATGGATATTGTTTATTTTTCGTGTATCGGTCCTTCAGCATTACGGAATCGAAAGCATGCGGACTTTCACATCGCTTGGTATCCTTCGGCAAGTTAGAACATCCGGCGTTCACAAAACGAATTGTGGCATCACAAAACATTGTGCGGTTTGTGCATGCTAATAGATCATTGGACGGTTGATCGTTGACGGAAAAGTTGCCCAGGCATCTCTGGTGACGGGAATGGAAAAGCTTGTATAACATCATTCAAATAATCGGTGCCAAAATTCAACATGAGCCAATAAATGCGTATATTTCATTACGGCCTTATCTGTGGTTATAATGCAAATACCACGTTTTTATTACTAAAATTTGCTAAGAATGTTCCTGTTGGTTTGTGTCGAGGGGGAAAATGCAAGCTTGATTAATTTGCATTTCTATTATACTCTATAACTTAACGGTCGTCTTTTAAGTACATGCCTTTAATAAATACCAACCTATGGAATGGTGAAGATGGACTGTGTTAAAAAAATAATTATTAATGGAAATTTCTTTATCTGTCTTTTATAAATTAAGGGAATTTTCAGCAAACAACTAAGCCGATGCGTTTGTCTAACCTTTCTCGGAAATTAGTTGCTGAAATGGTTAATCACGCATTAGTTATTTTTATATAAAGGGATGCTACCAGATGGTCATCACGCTGCCGAAACTGCAATATGCGTCAGCTTTTTGGAGGAACTTCTATAGTGAGCATTCCATTTCGCTGTTAGGGTCTATAAATCAAATCCCAGTGAAATTTCCGCGATTAAAATCACCGCGCTAGGAGGTTGGGTGCCGAGGATGTTGGCCACGTTGTTAAGTAACATGCAGTGGTGCTCACTATACACCTAGATGCACGTTACTGCTATGCGGAGGAGTAGGTCGCCTAATTGTAATGCAAAATTAACCTGCGTTTTAGCATTTATCTTTTAGTAAGGCAAGCTAATTTAACTGACAGGAATTAACCTGCATACTCATAATGTTGCATTCGGCAACGAGATCACGGTACGATCATCTTATAATCAAAACCATCAACGTTTTGTGAACAATGGCTTCATTTGAGTCAAAAAACAGCTTACAAGCCAGTTTGTACATTGTAGTCCTTTGCAGAAAGTACCATAAAATTACCTGGACATTTTGCTGTCAAACAAAAGCAATTATGGATTGTGATGCAGATTTATTTGGCAGTAGGTGTCCATACATAAATCCAAGTATTTCATAAAACCGTCAGTAGGTTAACGAATAAAATGTAGCTAGCTGGGTGCATCATCCAACCAAATTTTATATGGGTCTATTAAAAGTGCAGGAACGAGCGATCCAAAGAAAGCATTCCACATGTGACATACGTGAACGGAATCGATATTTCTGAGATGATCTAGGTGAATGTAATTTGCTGCTTGTTTCAGGTGTGACTTATCAATCGTTTTTTACTGCGGATTTGCTGTAAGCAGTGGCATACCTGGGGTAGTTCGTGCAAAATCAAGTAGGCAATAATAATGTTCCTGCACACTCGGTGAATTCCTCTGCTGTATATTCCAACCCTTTCCTTCCTTATTCGAATGCATAAATGCACAGTCCATTGATGTACTTGGATGTCCGATATTGAAGATGTTGCAGAACATTTATGTCGTGTTTCTTACGCGTAAAGCGGATTTTAATTAGGTAGACAAAACACAGGCGAACATGGGTACTAAACGTTTGTCGGAAAGTATAAACGTTAGTTTGTTCGAACTGCCGTCACAACAAACCAGGATATAGATTCGGATGCCTTATCATACTGGTTATACTGAATACTGAATACTGTATTATAGAGCAAGTAGAAATAGATTCTGTACAACTCTTTCGAAAAATGGCGAAAAACGTTATAAAAGTTGTCAACCGTGGATATCATCGTCGTTCTCATGTAATATTTAAAATATTCGACTTAAGATATTTCAGGATTCACAAATGTGATATGTTATTGTAAGTGTGCAGTCGTTCTCTGTATCGAATAGAGGCAAAATACAAATCTAACAACGTTTTGAACTGTTGCACAGATGTTGCCTCAATCACATGTTCGGGCAAACTATTTCAAATGTTTACCACTCTCCGTTCGAAGCACAGTGGGTGGGGAAAACATTTCATATTCGGCACGACAAGCTTGTATCTGTGTCCGCGTGTGCTGCATGGCTCTCGTAAGTGCAGCATTGACCTTAGCATGGGGAACTCACCGAGATGTAGAATTCGGTAGGTCATAATGAGGTCGACTCGCAACCGACGGTAGGACAAGGTGTAGAGTCCTAATTTCTCGCACCGGTCCTCATACCCAAAGCCACGTCAACTCCGGATGAGCCTGGTAGCAACGTGTTGGACCCGTTCGATCTTTTGTGCCTCGCCTCTGGTAATCGGAAAGTAGGTGGGCGAACCGTAATCTAGCATTGGTCTAATGATAGAAGAGAACAGGCGAGTGGCAACCTCTTCAGACCATGTGCCGAAGCTACGTTTGAGCGCCCAAAGCATGCGCAGTCCGTTACGATATAGCCTGTTCGTGTTGTCCACTGACTTCAAATGGTAGAGGGTGAGTACACCTAGGTCCTTCACGGAGGGTGTGGGATATAGCGGTTGGCCGTCAAGGGTGTAGGTTCGGCCGTTAGCATTCTTCCCCATGCTCATAAATACAGACTTGGCTGCGTTGACTGGGAGAAGAACTTCTGCAGACCATGTGGATAAGCGGTTGAGATCTTGCTGAAGTAGGCCACAGTCATCGGGAGCGTCGATTTCTCTCAAAATCTTCATGTCGTCCGCAAACAAGGCACACGGCGACCGGAGAAGCTGTGGTAGATGGTTGATGTGGAGCAGGAACAGAGTGGGCCCCAGCACAGTGCCTTCAGGCACGCCACTTGTAGAGGGGTACCAGTCAGTTATATGGTCGTCGACCTGCACTCTCCACTTTCGTCCAACAAGAAAGTCGCGGATCCACCGGTGCAGTGAGCCACCGACGCCACACATGCTGAGTTTGTGAAGGAGAACCTCATGACTGACCTTGTCGAAGGCTTTAGTGAAATCGATGAATATCAAGTCGACGGATTTCCCCTTGTTTATTGCCTTAACCATTCATGCCTCGTCACAAGCAGGCTCGTAATGCATGATCGGCCTTGCATAAAACCGTGCTGTGCGGGCGTCAGGACCTCGTTTGACTGTAGAAACTGCAGCAATCTCTTTTTCACGATTTTCTCAGCAACCTTTGCCAAAATCGGCGTCAGACAAATTGGCCTGTAACTGTCTACTTTGCTAGGGTCGCCGCCTTTCGGAATAGGCTTCATCACCGCACATTTCCAGTCAACCGGCAATGAACCTTCGGACAGCGACCTGTTGAAAAGGTCAGTCACGACAGGAGAGAGGATGGTTGAGATTGACTTGAGAACCAATGGGTGAAACCCATCAGGTCCGGCAGGTTTGGTGCCGTTAAGGTTAGCGAGTAGTTGAGCTACCTCTTCAACGCAGCAATGCAGACTATCGAGTTCGGTAAAAGCGGTACACATCGAACTCCGAACATACACCTGATTATTCGCAAATACAGAAGCGAATTGCGCCGCCAACGCGGACGCACGCTCAGAGCTGGACGTTAGGGGCTGTCCATCCGTGCCATCCAGCACTGGCACATCACCTGTTGGCATTAGGCGTCGCTTCACGTATGCAAAGATTCTCTTGGGGGCTGTCTTTCCGGCTAATGCGAGCTGCACTTCAAAGTGTCGGCGTTTATTCTTTTTCGCACTGTTGCAGAGGTTCCGCTGACATTTGTACCCTTCGTAATCATTGGCAGAGCCAGAAAGAAGGAATTTGTCCCACAGTCTGTGCCGCCTCCGAGCCAGGTTTCCATACCCCTTGTCAAACCAATGAGGTTTAATCGGTCCAACATTTCGACATTTCAATGGCATAAATTGGGAACACAATGTTGTTAATCTCTCTTTTATAAATATCCAACAATCTTTCACAGATGCAGCTTGTGACAGAGACCAATCCAGTTGGCTCGCGGCTCGAGCTAGACCATCGAAGTCCGTTTTCCAGTAGTTGAGAGCTGGTTGTAGCGGATGTGAATACGGCAAAGATCATTCCATATCTGCTGTCAGTACTGAATGGTCGCTCGTAGCCAGGGGCTCCAGAATCCTAATGTCACGCACTAGTTGTTCGTAGCTCGTTAACATCAGGTCGAGACAGGACGAGGTTGAACGTGTTGATATGCGTGTTGGCTGGCATATGTGTTGCGATGCGCCAGTTTCAAGTACCAAATCCACGAACTTTGCTTCAACCTCACTATCACATCAGGCCATCGTATTCGAGGACAGTTAAAATCGCCCATAAGCAGAATTGTGGACGACTCATGTAAGCTTGAAGATGGGGCAGCCAATCCAAACAACGACTCAGGGGACCGCGATAAACTGCGCCCACAAGCAGTTCTCCGTGCCTTAGGCGGATAGAGCACCACAGTAGCTCACACAGGCCATCGTCACTTCGGTAGGTGCTCACAAATCTCCCACGCAGGGAAGACCGGATGTAAAGTAAGACACCACCGTGGGCATTCTTTAGTCTATCGCATCGGAAACACGAGTAACCGTTGAGTTCAAGTTCTTGGGTGTATAACTCTGCATGCAGCCATGTCTCTGCGAGTCCTACTACGTCTGGCCGCTCAGACGCAACGAAACAACAAAGCTCATCGCGCTTATCTATAATACTGCAAACGTTTGTGAAGGCTACTCGCAGGCGGCAGCGGGAGCCACCGGGCTTGCTTGAAGTGTGAGCAGCCTGTTTATCCTGATTCGCGGATGGTTGGAAACCACCCGAAAATGTACGATACGAAGATTTGTTTCCCCTCACCAGCGCGTCTTTTCAACTCAATGTTGGCAGACTTGAGCCACTCCCTGTCTACTGGGTCCAGGTCGGGACGAACATGGATCTTCAAACCTTTCAGCCTACTTAGGCG